TATTTATTTATTTAAGTAGGCTTCTTATTTTTTCAAATATTTTATCTTTCTTATCTCTTTATCTAGTTTACAGTCATTCGTCAGTCATTTCATTAATGTATGAGAAATTAAACCAGTTAATTGATTGGTTGATTGATTAGTTGTTTGATTAAACGATAAGTCAATCAATCAATCAATCAATTTATCTGTTCATTGGTCACATGATTTACTCACTTTTCAGATAATGATAAGTTCTTTGTGCATTCCTATTATATAATATGTTTACTTGCTATTCTCCCACAATTTATTAAGTATAGGTAGTTCATTGGTTATTATGCATCTATTTTTTTTTAAGTTCATGACTATATTTTCTTTTTTTCTTTTTATGTATCGCTTTGACAAAGTTCGGGAAATAGATGGCCACTGTAAACTCCTTCTTCTGTTTCTTTTAAAAAAAATTTTTTTTTTAAAACAAGAAAAAAAAGACTGCAAGAAAACCAGCTACAAGATCAACAACAACAACAACTGTTGCACCAACGAAAACCAAAGACAACGAAAACTGATATGAATATAGCTTAATTAATCTACTTTCTTTCTCTGGACATGAGCAAAATGTGTTGATAGAAGCGTAATTAAGGTATACATTAATTTAATTACCCCCTCCCCCCCCCTTCCAAACTTCTCCCCTAGGAACTACCAGAGCTACGTAGACTGTTTCGACACCAGACTGCCTACGTCACGGAATCCTGCGGACCTGTTCCTCACGCTGGTGTTTGAGAGGAAGAACATGGAGCTTGCCTACACTGGGCTGTGTACGCTTGATCTGGAGGGTGAGTTCTTGGGAGAGGGAGGCATCAGGGAGGGAGAGAGGGAAGGACGGAAGGAGTAAGGGAGAAATAAAATAGTATGGAATTTGCCAGCATGGTCCATCTATATTTTGACATGTGTGTGTTTAGACGGGTACCAAAAGTCGGATTTTGACCATTTTGAGTTAAGGGATGTACCTTATAGGAAATTCAATGCTAAACACAGAGGTCTTTGAATTTTTTTAGATATCTCAAGTAGTTTTTTAGATACTGCACATTTTACGAGGTAGGGTATAAAAATATAATTTTGAGAAAATTAGCTTTTAAGTTAAATAAACACATAAATAAGTTAAATAAGGACACATCCAGAATTGCAAAATAACCCACCTATTTTTAAAATGTATTTATTCATGGAAAATTCATTTCCAATTTGGCATTCAGTCAGTTGACATCAATATCATAAATGGAATTCAATGGTAAAACACAGCAGGGAAGAGAAAATGTGCTGCAAGAATAGATTTTAATACCTTTTAAAAGCAGTTTTCATTATTTGTTTTTATTATACCCTACCCTCAAAATGATGAAAAGTAAAATAAGTGAAATCAATGAAAACCCTTTGAGAGCATTGTTAAAAAATGGTGAATCTTTTTTTTTTATGGAAACACATTTTGGTAAAAAAAAAAAAAAAAAAAAAAGATTTTTGCCATTATCAGCCTTTAGCTCGAAACGGTCTGGGGCGACTTTTGGTACCCTTTGTCTAGACACACACTCACATATTATATGTGTGTGTATATTTTGTATTTTTAATGTCATTGTGTAGGTTCCTCCAACATAGCAATAAAAAATAGAAGTTAAGTCGATCTCCGGTAGGACGTAGCCAAATAGACAGATAGCTCGAAAACTCCCAGGACAACTCAAATTCAGAATGCCTCACTGCAGGAATTTGGACCAGGTCGTAAGTTCCATAGTCAAGCAAGATATCAACTGATATCATTAGATTGCCCATAAATTATAGGCCTTTTGCATTTGCATATGTGAGGCAGCGTGGTGGAATCAGGCTCTCGTCAAAATAATGAAATCGAAGAAAACTGCAGTTTTCTCCCTGCTTAGCAATTTTTATTATTTTTTTGTTTTTTTGGCTCAACACGTTTTATGTCCTTTTACAAACACATTCCTTTCAGGATTTCACCGAAAATGTTGATTAAAGGCACAACAATATAAATTTACAGTTTCCATGGACTCTCCAGCTCTGGAATTTACCAAGTTTGGCGGCCATTTTCTCGCCAATTTTACCTCTTAAACCAGGTGACCCCCACCTCCTTCAATCCAAAATATCTCCACTTCTATTGAAGATCGATGGGTAATTTTTTCATTAAAAGCAAGACAAATGAAGAAGCGTTAAGATGATAGCAATAACTCAATATGCCCCAAAAATTGACGAGAGCCTGATTCCACCACGCTGCCCCACATATTGTGTTGCTTCCCTTTTTTCCACTTAAAAAGGAAAAAAAGAAAATGAACGTGTTGATTAAAATAATAAAAAGAACACACAAATAAAATAAATAAACAGATAAATGATATTGGTTATAAACCAACCTCCCTGCTTATTTTCCACTTAAAAAGGAAAAAAAGGAAAATTAACGTGTTGATTAAAATAATAAAAAGAACACACAAATAAAATAAATAAACAGATAAATGATATTGGTTATAAACCAGCCTCCCTGCTTATTCTCCCTTGCTAGAACTGAGGCAGAACATTCGCTGTCTGCTGAGCACTCCAGAAATCCGCCGGTGTTACGCCACTTTCAACCAGGGTATCAACCAGATCGCAGGTCTGCAGCGACAGCAACAGTTGCCTCGGGTAACCATGGAGCAACTGGCGTGCAAGTGAGTGGAAATTAACACATCATCCTCATCATCAATGCTTTTTTTGGTTAGTTTTAGTAAGGTTTTATGGCGCTCGCCACTTTTCTCACCCTGGATCAGGGTGTAGGCCATGAACAAACCCTTTCCACTTTTCCCTATCTTGGGCTAGCCTCTTAAAGTTATTCCATGTCTTCCCACTTTTCTGTACATCAATTTGTGTGACTCTTCTCCAGGTGGTTCCATGTCATATTCCCCTTGATCTTTTACCTTGTGATTTCCTCGACAAAGAACATTTTGGGCTAGAAGAGGTCCTCTGTCTCCCAAGATTGAAAAATGGAAATAGGCCTACAATTACTCTGACACATTTCCTCTTTTTTTAGCAGGTTAAAAGAAATAAAAATAAATTTAAGAATATTAGGACCGACTTGAGATAGTTGGGTCTCAGTTATCATCTGTCTTTAAAAAAAATGAGACGATAGTTAAAGAGGAACACCAGTGAACAAGATTTTTACTTATCATAATCTGCTTGCATTATTTCAATTTCATGATTCTACATGTATTTTATTTTTCAAAATAATGTTTTTGAGTTGTTTTGATACAAGTAACACAGGATGGTTCATAGTTGATGGTGGTTAGCGTGTCTGCTCCTTTCATTCTTTCTTTTTTTTTTTTCTTTTTTTTTTTCTTTTTTTTTTTGGTCATTTGCCACAATTTTCCTTTGGATAAAATACGAACCATTTGTTTGTTGTTGTTTGTTTTTTTACAATACCTTTCCCTGTGTATGTATATATATATTTATTTATTAATTTATTATTTTTTTTTTGGGGGGGGGGGGCAATTTCCCCCCCATTTTGGGGGGGGGGGTTTGTTTGACAATTTTTTTCACTGCCTTTCGACCAATTCTGAATACACTATTTGCAGTGTTGTTGACTTGCAGTAGGCCCTACCTCATTAAAAACAATGTAGGTTATTTTGGTGGGGGAGTACAGCTCCAAAATCTGGACCGTATGTTGTGAGGAAGTAATTCCTGGACAGATGAGAGAATAAAACCAAAACAGATTCGGGGTTCGAACCTTGATTTTGAGCATGTTGTAATTTGAGTTGCAGGAAACCCACTGCCAGTGGTGAAATGGCTATAACAACTGATGATAATAAAGAACAATTGTTTAGTGTAGTGCACATCCCCACTCAACAGCAAGATTTGTGCTTTTAAAATCTATTATTTCCTTGGCTCTTTGCCATTTCTTGGGCCTATAGAAGACTTGAGTTTGATTCCTATGAAGGGAAGGTATTTCATCGAGCATTTTCATCGAGCATTTTCATCTGTCTTCTTAGAACCAGTATCCTCCTCAGCCTTGGTTGGCCGTGATGGGTGTATCAAAGCAGCCCATCTCCTTAATGAATAAAGTCATATGTTGAGAAGGATGTAAAACATGAACAAATTAATTTTTTGAACAAAAGATTTTTTTTTTAATTTGGGTGGTAGGCAGGCATTTTGGTGTGGTTTGCCCCTTCTAGTCTAGTAAAAATGTGTCGTAATTATCTCTTCTCCTGCATTTCTTTGCGCATTGCTTTCTAGAAACACCTCTGAAATTTGGCACTTATATATGACCTAACTGTGTTGCAAATGCCGTAAAACTCTGACCCAAAAAAAACTCTTACTAAAATTTAAACTTCAAAAAATTCTCCTGTGTGTCCCCAGTGTCTCTGTGGCGAGGTACCAGTGCGAGACGGCCGTCTACCGCTTCTGCAACGCACGGGCCGGGGAGATAATGCAGGACTTTTTCTTCGCCGGGGTCACACAGGAGTGCCGTGACGCCACAGGAGTTCGCTCCCGCTACGTGGACATCTTCACCGGCGGTGCCGTGACCTTGACCTACCCGGGCACCGTGCCCTTGATGCTGGCCGCTCTGCTCGTGCTCTTCCTCACCCGGTTTAGCTGACTTCCATCGTTTTGTCTCACGGGGGCGATTCTGGGAGTTGGAAGGATAGGGGCTGATAGTCATACACACAGCGCAACAGGCGTAGTAACATTTCCTTTCTCTCTCTCCGTGTCTAAATATTATCGCAGGAGCAACAATGTAACATATTTTTCTTACACTCATTCTCTCACTCAGCCTGCAATGCATACAGATTTGGGGCAGATGCCTAGTTTCTCAACAAACAAATTGTGACCAGAATTATGCATCTATAATTTTTTGCTTTGCTCAAAGTCTTGGCCCATACAAACTAGCCAAATCTGGTTATGTAAAATTAGGGAAATCCATTTGCTCTTACCAATCCGTCATAGATCTCGAGACACACAAAGTCAAGAACTATCTGTATTTGTCTTACATCCTTCTTACATTTCTTAAGATCTCCTTTCTTATTCTGATAAACCAGCAAGAAAATGGGACTCTCCTCCCTGCATGGCCTTTCAACTCCAGTTGAGGACATAAATTACACTAGTTGAGGGTGGGTGTTAAAATTAAAAGTAGATTGCATACTTTGTAATGTATATCCAGGTTTGCATTGCAGTGGCATTTACAATTGTCTCCTCCTTCCTGGAATGATATGTGTCACGACGTGGTGGAATCAGGTGCTCGACAATTTTTGGGAATATAATATGGTCATTCATATAAAACGTCAAAGCTTGTTCATTTGTCTTGCATTTTGTGAAAAAATATCCCTTTATTTTGATTAGAAGTCGATGTATTTGCAATTGAAGGAGTGGGGGTCTCCTTTTGTCAGAGGTAAAATTAGCGAGAAAATGGCCGCCAAAGTTTGTTGACTTCCAAACATTGAGTTTGAGTGTTCATGAAAACTGGAAATTTACATTATTTGTGCCTTTGAGCAACGCTTTTCAGTAAAATCAACAAGTAATAAATGTGTTTTTAAATTGACTGAAAAAAAATTATTTTAAAAAAATTGCCCAACGGCCAAAAAAATGCCGGTTTCTTTGATTTAATTATTTTGACGAGCACTTGATTTTACTACGATGTCACAAATATTATTTAATCTAAGCCTGAAGCAAGCTACAACACTTCAGCGTGACACCCTGGATTATAATGCCTTCCCTCCAAAATAAATGACTAGAGTAAATCTTGAGCTTTACCCAGTACACAGCTTTAAATAATTTCGTAGGTCATTACATTTTTAAAACAATTAAATTCAAAGCCAAATTTTAAAATGTTTTATGTTTTTGATAGATGATGATGTTCTACGAGAGTTGCTAAAAGTTTTGTGTTCATTTTCTCAAAAGTTGCCACTATTTCATAACCGCAAAAGGATCTTGTTTAAAAAAACTAATACAATCTGCGACAGTCTTTTATCATAATAATATGTTCTTTCGAATATGAAGACTAAAATGGTAGATAGCACTTAATTTTGAAAAAAGCAATTTGCTTGACATTATGACTGAAAGGGTCTAATGTGACGAGGAGAGATTTCAAACTTAAATAAAAATAAACGAAACGACAAAGATGATTTGAACAAACATAAAACGAAGTTACCACTTCCAAAAAAAGACACAATGGAACAACTGTTATTGTTTTCTTCAACTCATAGTAATATTTAATCTCATGACATGATGAAGTCTGTAAAGAATCTAACAAAAGAGCCATGAAGAGAGAGAGAGAGATGGGCTTGATGACTCCTGTAGCGTACATCTCGTTCATAAATATTGCATTTCAATCCATTCTTTTATACAAAATAGGACAGTAATGAAAAAGGGAACACTTGAATTATGCAAACAACAACAACAACAACAAAAATAAACAAAATTACATTGAGATGAAACTTCATCGCTCAATCAATGTACAAACGATTATTAATGCATGATAAAAACTTGTGAACTGGAAATTCAAATTGATAACCACATGCTAAAAAAACTGAACGTGTCATTTACAGCCTCTCTCATACACTCCCTCGTACAAAATAAATATTGTGTACAGAAAACAAATCAAATATTAAGCAAGTATACAAGTTTCACAAAGGTCAAGGGCGGTCAATTCATACATTAAGTGGAAGCCACATCAAGAACCACACAATATCATAGTGATGAATGAAAAAAAAAAATTAAAAATTTAAAAACCTGACATTTCAATTGGACCGTCCTTTGACACATGTGAAAAGAAATTTCTTGATAAAATAATGTTTTGGCACAAAATTGCCTCATGAACAGTATCAATTAGAAAAATCCATGTGCTCCTGAAACAACAATTTAAAAACATTGTTTGCATAATGTTATGACTGATACATATATATTTACAAAAGAGTATCCATAAAGTCAGTTGGAGAAGTGTTGTTAGGTGAATAGTTGTAAAAGCCTGTTGTCAGTTTCCTGGAATTATTCTGTAGGCCTATTTAATATATTCAAACCCCATTTTCTTTTTCAAGATATTTGCGTATCAAGCAAATTGAACATTCTGGAGAAATAACTACAGCATTGCACAAGTGCTGAGACAGTGGGTGTGCTTTTTTAAATCTTTCCTTTCTTCTGTATGAGAGCAGGATGTGTGAGAAATATCTACAGCAAACAAAGTGGGTCTGTTTCCTTCTTTTTTTTGCTTTATCAGCATGTTTAGGCCTACTAATTTGTTAACATTTCTGGCTGTTAGTTTTTTTCTCACAGCTTTCAAATTTATCATTTTCTTTTATATTTAATTTGTTTGCTTTTTAACTCACAAAAGAAGTTGACTCAAACTGCTTTAAATACGCCAGGAGCAACAATGGTTACTACAGAAAGACAGAATATAACAAAGCAATGACGAAGAAAAGATTGGCGGTAGCATGTAAAATCTTAACACTCTTATTCAACTTCTCAAAAACAGATTGTTCAAAGGAAGATTTTGATTTTTGAAAATATAAATGTGAGAAATACCTTTATATACCCCAAAAAGTGACGAAGTAAAGCTCTTTAGAAAAAAGTAAATTCGTTCCATCTTTGCCAGCTGAGATATTTCCTTGTATTGCCACCCCCGGTGAGAGACAAAACTGATCGTAAAGAAGCCAGGAAGCCCTTTTTCTCTTTTAAAAATCTCTATCTTGGATTCAAACTCAGCCCCTTACATCTTACAAGTGGCCTGCACGTTACCACTGCACTAAATATAAACCTGACTTATTTTGTGCGATCTGATTACAGTATTGCTTGACTTTGCTGTCTATGTATCTTTAACTTTAAGAAGATTCTTGTAAATACTATGTATACTTTACAAGGTTATTTCTTATGATAACCTAATTTTCATGACAAATATACTTAAAAGAATTTTAAAAAATACTTTGTCTCACCCTTCCAAATTATCAGGACAGATAGCATTATTTAGTTCCAGCATGACCATTTACTCCCTGCTATCTCATTGCACATGTTCACACAGCAAAAAGTCAGGAATATTGCACAGGATATGAAATAGTAAGGAATAAAGGATTGGATATCATCAGAATACTATTAAAAAATCCCTGTTGATGTTGTGAAAAATCCCCCTTGGATATTGTTGTGACAACCCATGATCATCGTAACCCCAGGGATATCATCAAAACGATAATGACACAAAAGTCCAGTGTCTAGCAGCATGCTGGGATTTTTCTGTCAGTTCTTATAAGAACTAGAGTATAACGAGCTCATTGCACATAATATCGTACAAATCTTGTAACTGTGTGCGAAGACCACCTGGGACAAAAACTGTCAACAAAACAAATGTAGTATGTGAGTTTCGTAATCATCTCACGTCTCAGGTTTCTCAGATCCACACTGGCTTCAACGCATAAATTTAACCAAAGTGTTGGGTGCAAAGAGACCAAATTCGACATTTTTATTCTCAAGTGAGACCAAGATCTAACTATATACTTACCAAACATTTATCATTTGTTAGAGAAAAAGTCCTTAAATGTATTAGACCCAAAGATTCGGGGTTTTTGTGTCAAATAATATAAGATGTCCAAAATGATCCACAATAGTGACTGAAGTTATTTATTATAGTTTTGAGTAAATAAAAACACAAGTCTTTGCCTGACTCTGGCCATAACAATTTTTTAAAATGACATGGACATTTTTGGAGAGATTTTCACCATTTTATAAGCGAGGGTAGGCCATCATAAAAGGAATTTGGTATCGGGTCAGTTTGATTTCCATCCTAATCTCACTTCCGATATTAGAGTAGAATGTTGTTATAGTGTACTACAAATTTGATGCTTCTATAAAAGAAGCCACCCCCCCCCAAAAAAAAAAAAAAACCCCAATCACTGCTCTTTCATTTCATTTTGCTGGTTGCCAGGGAAAAAAACTGAAATGGAAAAAAAGAAAGACCATTTTCTTTCCTTTCTGTGAGGTAAAAATGACAGAATTTGGTCACCTTGCATCCTTCACACCTATCACACATGCATGCATACTACACTCAGGCACATATGTACACACATACACACACACATACACACACACATACACACACACACATGTGCACGTACACACACACATACACTATATAGTATTTATATATCCTAGCATGACATCATATCATTCAAAGAAACCCTGGAACAAATGGAAGTCTTCCATAAACTAATTTAGATTTCCTTATAAAAGTGTTAGTTTATTTCTGTTTGATAATTTTTTATGTTCCACAGCCAGTTAAATATTCATTTCTTGCTCCTGTCTGTAATCCCACCCCAGGAAGATTAGTTGCTAGAGTTTTATTTGTATTTGTGGTTAGAGTAATAAACATTCTATTTAACGAGTAAAAGTGTCTTTATTCTCTGTAGCTGAATTATTATGGGATTTCTTTTTTGCTTGCAAAATGTGATAAATGTATATTATTATTCTTTGCCTCTCGTATTTTCTTTATATCTATCTCTCTCTTTCTCTCTCTTTCTCTCTCTTTCTCTCTCTTTCTCTCTCTCTCTCTCTCTCTCTTTCTCTCTCTCTCTCTCTCTCTCTCTCTCTCTCTCTGACTTTACACAGCAGCATGTATCAGAACAATGCTATACACACATGTTGAACTTTGAACAAAATTGTAAATGTAGATTCGAGTGCATAGGAACATAAAAAATATCATCATTAGAAGAGGAAAACAAAATTTTTTTAAACCACAAAAGACCCACAAATTCGTGATGTTTTTGACCTCACTTTCAAGGTGAGGATATTTTCCTCATCGATCGTAACAAGCATGTTTACATGCACATACAAACACACACACACTAACACACAAACACACACACATATATATATATATACACAAATGCATCATAAAACACACTCTCACACTTTCACCACAACACACTCCCATATAGTGACACACAGAGGTACACACACACATCTACACACACACAAATATGCGTAGGCTGAACACGCCTGAGTTGTTTTAGTCTGAATTACCTCACCCAGCGAAACAACATGAAACAGAGACACAAGGACTGATTGATCTGCACCCGTGTCTTTCAAGACTGCGATAGAAACTGATTCACATCTCAACTTCATCATCATCCAGTGCCAGATCTGCGATAGACATCGGCAATCATGGTTCTCCGTTCATTCCTTTGCTCGGATGCTCTCAAAAAAGCAACGTTTCCCTGATCTTTCCCTGTTACCCATTTGTTTAGAAATAGATTCCCTAAGTACGTTGTTTTGGGCCTACCCCTGCCTCGTTTACCTTCAATTTTGCCAGTGAGAGCTAGAAGTTCAAGACCCGTATGTCTATTCAGGAGTCCCAACTTACACAAGTATTAAAG